AAACCTGATTTGGAATCGAGTGAGCTTGGTGGAGTAAAATCGATATTTTGAACCACCCTAATGGTGTATACCTTGGGGGATTTTTTCAGATGAAAAAAGTTCAATCTTTGACCACTGTGCGGCACCTCTAAATCATGTTGGAGCGGATTTTTTTTAGACCTGTGCGCCGCCGCGCCACGCCGCCGCCGCCGACGATTTTCATACGCCGCCGCCGCCGATGAAATTGAGCCGGCGCGCCGCCGCAGAAAAATCGTTCACGCCGCCGAATAAATTTATGTCACGCCGATGAAAAATCCGCAACACCTTTTCGATAAAATGCATCTTGAACGCGTTGAAATTAGAACTTATGTGCACACTCGTTCATGGCTACTCAAAATGGAGTGAAAAACCACTGAATTTAATTGAAACCGGATCTACTCTAAATTTAGTAACATAGTCAGAACTAAATTTTAAGTAAAACGGCGAAAATGGGCAAATATTTCGTTTCTTTTCTTTCTTTTTTCTTTAGGATTAATAAACCAAAAACTGAAAAGCATTTTATTTTAAATAAAACAGATTGTAAAACAATTACAATTCACACAATTACCACGGCGGTTGCAATTTGCACCATTTTTGAATGATTTCTTTCGAAATTTGAAAGGCAAACTTCGAATTTTTCAGGACTGAAAAATTTCATTAAAGCTAAAATAATACTAATAGGAATTATGAAGCTATGATATATTGTAATAATAATTTTTATATGTAAGATACAAGAAGAGGAGGTAAAATTTGTGTATGACACATAAAACCTGCCAATTTCACTTCCAGAGTGTCGCAATTAGCTATTAGTTATAACGAAGGGTACTCACTCATTGAAATATCTCATTACAGTTAAAACAGCTACTTATGACCCTCTGAATGCAAAATTGACAGTTTTTATGTGTCCTACACAAACTTTACCTCCTCTTCTTGCATCTTACATAAAAAATATATCTCAAAGTTTCATAATTTTGAAAAGTAGCGGTTTAGCTGTATTAAAATTTTTCAGGTCACTATTCCATTTGTTTTTTTTTGAGTCAACAAATGGGCTGAAAACTCTACATTGAATCCGCCTTAATTTATTTATTTATTTATTTTTGCGTCAATGTTACTCAGATTCAAAAATCCCAACTACTCATGCTTTGGCGTTTAAAAAGAAGTTATGAAAATGAATACGTCTGACGCATGTTTGAGTAACCTCTAACAAGCCTTAGGCAGCGATTTAGCGTCATTTAGTTTTTTGACGTTTGTTTGCACTTTCTCTATCTAGCACACAGGGATGCATACACGAAGATGAATACACACAGGGATGTATATACGGATCCAAGGGGTAAGTCACTCAGCACATTGTGCCACAATTATATTCGGCACAGCTTGAGCACATCCATCGGTACACCTTTGGTACAATCTCGTAGGCATTTGATTGTTGTAAATAAAATGAAAGAACTGCTGGTCACTAAAATTGTTCAAAACATTACGTGCTGTTTGGTTATATATTCATGAACATCTTCTAATGAGATATACCTGAGGAACTCAAACCGACAGTTCACTTCTTGGTTCACTTATAGATTTAAATCCGAAATGCCGCTGTACCGATTTATCCTTGCAATTTCAAACCAAAACATTCCAGGTGTCAGAAATACCGCGTTGCTGCGATGGGTATTTAACAATAAATCGCAGCTTGCTCTATGACTGGCACAATCGGCACACCTGCGGCACACTAAAAAAAAAAAAGATGACCCAAGATTGGTGTGAGGAGTGACCTACCCCTTGGATAAAGCATTATTTGTCCTCCAGTTCACTGGTTTCGTCTCGATAAGTTTCCTTCTGCCTCACCTATAGATCCTGCACATCGGTCTCGTCTCAGTTACGCATTTGATTTTTGACGTTTTGGTTCCCATTCACGACAACTTCCACGATGTCGAATTTTAATTTAAATAAAATTCCTTTGAATTTTCTGTCGATTGATACTTCGAGAGGAAAAAACCTTTCAAGTGATTCGCGGAAATACTTTGGAAAAATTATGTGTACTAAAAGTGACGAAAAAATACATATCGTGAAGGAGAAAGTGTTCTGCTCGTTATGCATGTCAGAGGCTAAGAAGAGGCCAGGTGATACCAAGGTCCGGAATTGTAAGTCGAAATAAAAAAAAATCAGACAAATGTTAACCGATATCGAAGAATCTGGAGATTGGCTTGATATGGATGAGTTATCGTTATCTATTATAGAGGAGCAGCTAGATGGCCAACTTGCGAATTTGTGTGAAACGAATATCAATGTTCAATTTGACGGTGGAGCTAAATAAGCCCCAACACTTAAAACAATCAGCGTAACACGTTTGCATTACTTACTTAAGATGATGAAAAGTCTCGAACTATAGAGAGCTGGCGTGAATGCTTTATTGAACCGTCTTAACAAGCACGATCTCATATTGACAGCACATGAGTGGGCGCTAGTTGAAGACTTGCGAAACTTTCTTGAGTCGTTTGAGGTGAGTTTTTTTTTTTTAAAGTCGTGGTTTTGAAACTTTAATTCTAGATAGAGCTGGAATTAGGGCGTAAAAGCTTTTGTAAACCAGGACTTCTTTCGATAATTTATAGAAAGTTAAGGCTAGTCAACACAAATAAACATTACCATTGGATAGGGGAAGACTTCCCCTACCCGACGGTTATGTTGGTTTGCGTGAGCGTGCTTTTAATTTTTTTTATTTTTTAACATTTGAAAAATGCATATTTTTAGTATAAAAACGTCAATAACTCTTGATCGGCGAAAGATATTGACGAGCTTTCTGCAGCAAAAATTTGCGCCTTCTAAAAATCTAAAAGTCATTTGAAGATACCTTTGCTGAGAAATTTGAAATAAGAAAACTAGAGCAAAATAACTGTTTTTTAGCACCACCCTAACTCAATTCAAGAAAATAGCTCTAAATCAGCCAATTTAAGAGATACAAAAAAGTTGTTTCCAGCAAAGTTGCTTGAAATTACCTTAGCTATAACTTTGCCGAAGAATGTATACCTTAATTTATTCAAACAAAAAAGTTAGATTTTTTATTTTAATGACAATAAGATCCACCCTAGAATTCATTATCATTGAAATGAGGGCCTAACTATAAGGAACAACTTTGTAGAAAAGACTTTTAGTCTAAAGTTTCAATTTTAGTCTCAAAACATATCATTCCACCTAAATCTGCATTCTGGACCACTGTGCATTGTTTACAAAGGCTGTTACGCCCTAATTCCAGCTCTATCTAGAATTGTAAACTATTGTTGCTATATCTCGAGCAACTAAGCCTACTAATAAGTTCCATCTGACCGATTGGTGACCATATAGGGTTTGAAAATCAATATTCAACCAGTGCATTGAAGATCAGATGTTTGTTTACTGAAACACTAGAAAATAATGTTTGATTTTCACCTAGCGAACGGAATTCACTAATATAAATGCATTTAAAAAGCATCAGTGTTCTTCCAGTTAATCTTGACATTTTGAAATTGTATCATTTTGGCAGAAAATATACTTTAACTGAAAAATTGTCTCAGTCAGTCTCAGTCTCATTTATCGCTATCAATATGCTCAATAAATGAAAAAAAATCCTAGGGCTCATTGAATTGGTACATAATGCAACAGATTGCTTTTCAATACTATCCACCTCTACATAACGTACTTTTCTTATACTTGATAAAAGGGTTGTAACACTTTGCTATACGACTCCACCCCCGGCAATTTTAATAAGCACTTGACATACTTTGAGAATGTCTCAAAATTGAGAACGATTTAAAATTGAGTAAGAGTTACTCATATTTGAGTACCGGTTACTCAAATTCGCGAAAACGTACACACCAAAAAATTTTGAATTTTACTGGCGATGTAAACATCCATGCATGCAAACATTCATACATGTAAACTTCCTTTTCATGTAAACTAGCAACTTGCAAGAAATGTTGCAAACAAAAGTGGACAGTTGCATACAATATATGGGATATTGCATGACATGTCTCATAAATTTACACGATCTATAATCTAAACTTGTATGATATATGACGCTCCATTTATGTGCATCTTAGTAACGGAAATTTACACTACTTTTTTTAGCTGTGTAGGTCACTCATAGAATGAGTCAATTTTCCGACGCTTTTCCGAGGAAAACATCTCGGATATGAGGAAAACTGAATATGGTTTTAGTCTGTTCACTAGTGCACTTCTAACCTGTGTAAAATTTTCTTAAATTTTCCCCATATTCAAGAAGTTTCCGCGGGAAAGTGTCGCAAAATTTATTCACACTATGAATGACCTACGTTTTAGAGATTTTGAGTAATCTGAACTCGAATGTGGGTAGCATTTTTTGTACATGTGTGATTGGCTTGAAAAGTTTTTTTTTTTCTAAATCATTAAAAATAAACTCACGCCGACCCACGCTGCCACGCCGCCGCCGCCGAAAGCAAACGGAGTGACGCCGCCACGCCGTCGCCGCCGGCAGAAAATAACATATTACGCCGCCGCCGAAATTTTTTTGGAAGGGCGCACAGGTCTAATTTTTTTACGAGCCAACATTTTGTGTATAATCTATTTGGTCACTTTTTTACCATACATTCATTGGCACCCTAATGAATGTGTGGTGAAAAATGGAAAGAATCCAACTCTTCCCGTTTTTCCCGGTAGTTTAAGCTTCAGTAGTCTAATGAACGTGGTTGTAATGATACATTTTATACAATACAATAACACTCTTCTGGACGACAACGGTATCGACAAAATGAAAGTTTTGAATGTGTTATCAGATGTTTTGAATTAATCAAAACAAGCTAGGTTTGCAAATCTTAAACAAATGGCGTATGGACGTTATTCCTCCAATATGAATTGAATTAAATCTTCGATTAAAATCAGTTGAGGAATTACCATGAGGGAAAGTACCGACATGCCTAGTTAATTGTCACGTGAGCTTCTATCTCTATATATATCTCTCTCTCTCACTCTTCACTCCACAGGAATTCATTGTAATGGGTGCTTCCCTGCGGCGGTCGCTCTCGATTCACGTGGTGTCCACCGCCGACGGTGGAGCCGGCCACAAAGATGCCCCGGCCGAAGTGACCGAACGATCGACGAACGACACCACCACCCAGAAGGACTTCGTCACAGTGTCCGATCTGGCCGGTTTCAAATCCACTCGGGCACTGTATCCGATGGTGCAGCCATACATCGACATCAAACCAAAGGGCAGTAAGTGTAAGCTTTAAAAAGTGAATTTTTCTCTCTCCAATCTTTTTGTCTATATCAGCGTAATGTGTGGTGCTGAATTAAGTCAACCAAAATGTTGTACCCCATGGGAGGTGGCTTTTTTGTTGCGTGTGTAGATAGTTTGTTCAGTTGTACATTTTAGAGACAATTTTCCTTTCGGGTTTTCTACTTGTTTTTTGACAATGATACACAATTACGATACGAAAGTTTTTTTTTATATTTTTATTTAGTACTTAACACACGTTTACAGTTGTTAGAAGTGATAATCTATTAAGTCATACATATTATATTGAATTACATCCGACGAATTATATCCATTATATCCAGACGCAAATTGCAATTGGTTGTAGGGCTTACAGGTAGATTACAACTTCGACAAGTATTTTGTCCTGCTTCAAGTAGGAATTGGTTAGCAATGCCCGGAAAGGGATGGTGAATCCGGTGTTGGTGTTCCAAAACTCTTGAGAATTAAGATCACTAAATGGCACACCCTGTAACAATAAATACCAAAAGTTAAACCACACGCCATGCGGTCTCATTGATCCGAACTATACCTGATTCATCAGAATGATTTTGTGTCGGAGGAACTTTTTCGTTTCCACCGCGTCGTAGAGGGATCCTTCCTGAAGAATGACGTTCGGTCTCTTCCGCAGCTCGTCATCCATCGGCGATAGTTGGTCCACCTGTAGATACATATTGTCCTTCCCGTCGTGGTTCAGCGTCGCCTTTATGCGCAAATTGAGTCCCGATATTACAAACACCGGACTGGTCAGGGTGCTCACATTAGACTGCAGGCGTTCGGTGAAGTGTTCGATTTTCCAGAAATATTTAAACACCTTGGTTTCTCCGCTGGAAATGACGGTATTGTTGAACCGGTACACCTCGTAGTCCCGCAGTCCACCTCTGAAACAAGCGAAAGTTCATTTGAGACATGGGTAAAATTACTATTGAATATTTCTAGCGTTCAGAATTATAAGGCCCTTAACTGCAATGCTCAATGCAATGGTTTTCTTAATCGCTTTTCTAGTAAGTATATTTAACGGTTTTAACCACCGCATTATTGCAAATTGCTGTTTTCTGCTAAATAGTATTGCTAACTATGATTTTTTTTCAGTGTAGACATTGAAGGCGTATGTTTTGAAGCCTTTCAGGCAAAGCGTGTCATTGTTGACAAATCTACATCAACATAGAAACTACTTGAAGTTTGTAGTTTAGAGAGTTCCTATTCCATATTTTACTGAACCAAGCACGCCAAACTGACCTACACTGAACACAATATGTTGGTTAATTATTACTATGAGAATTTTACATAGCTACTTCGGAATTTATTCTAGAGGTTAGAGTTACCATTATGATAGTTTTCGATCGAATCTTTACTGCACATTGTAATTTATAGGTAATTCATCATATTGGAAATCTGTTTATGTTGCATACTAAAAATATTGTGTTATAGGAGGTGGCAGACTTTGGCCCACATTTGTACTTATACAGTACGTGTTGGAGTAAATCGGTAACGCAGTGTGCTGATCACCTCCTTGGAGACCGAACGTCACCCCTAGCAACCTAAGTTTTCTTAAATAAACAACGGTGAAAAACTTTTCATTCCTGTTCAAGACTCCACTCAAGCTAGTCGTTAAATAAAATCCATTCTACTTTTAAACTTTGCTGTTCCGGTTCTTTCTAACAATCAAGAGGTTATGGGCGACTCACGCAAGGATTTGGTCCACGGGATCCCGCAGTTCTCGGGCACCGGTTTCGACAATTGGCAATTTCGAGTGGAGAAGTATCTGAAGTCCGTGAAGCTGTTGGATATCATCAAGAAGGATCCTCCGATGGAAGCGGCCGAGCTCACGAAGTTCCAGGAAGATGACGGTAAGGCGGCGTTCCTGCTGACGTCATTTGTTCATGACGATTTGCTGCATTTGGTGCGGGACAAGGAGACGTCCAAGGAGATGTGGATGAGCCTTGAATCCGCCTACGCCAAGAAGTCCGTCTCGTCGCAGACATTCGTCAGGAAGCAACTTGCGAAGCTACGAATGATGGAAGGTTCGTCTGTGAAAGATCACCTGAAAACCTTCGAAGAGCTGATCCGACAACTGAAGCTGGCCGGAGCGAAGCTTGAAGAGAACGATATTGTGTCCCAGCTGTTTGCTACCCTTCCCGAGTCGTTCGATCCGTTGGTTACGGCACTGGAAAATCTAGGTGAGGATTGAGGAAAACCTAAAACTGGATGTTGTTCGCGAGCGCCTTCTTGCCGAGGAGCTCAAGAAAACCGACCGGGCAGCGGATTCCTGCCAAGAGAAACCTGCAGCATTCCAAGGATCGAAGCAGAAGCCTGGTAAGTTCACCGGAAAGTGTAACCGTTGCCAGAAGAAGGGGCACAAGGCCAAGGACTGTCGTGTGAAGTTGAAGACAGATGGGCGCGCTGAAGCTAACGCTGCTGCTGGAGGTAAGGCGGTGGCTTTTATGACCGGGATATGCTCCCAAACAAAGGACGAGGGAGCAGTTTCCTTTAAGCTGGATTCCGGAGCCTCGGACCACCTTGTGAATGTGAAGCACTGTTTCGCCGACCTCACGAAGCTGAAGCACCCTGTCGTCATAAACGTGGCGAAGGATGATCAATCCCTGATTTCCCGGCACAGTGGCACGATCAACGGCGTCAACAAGGAAGGTAACTATATCAGCTTGAAGAACGTCCTCTTCGTACCAGATCTTCGAGCGAACTTGCTATCTGTGAAGAAGATGGCAAAAGCGGATCTTGATGTCACATTCACGAAAAAGGAAGCGATCATGAAGCAAGGTCGTGACCTGATTGCGAGATGTCCCATGCGGGGCGATTTTTACGAGCTCGATCTCCGTGTCGATACGGTGGCGGCCAACATGTGTGGAGCTGTGACTGGTAACCTGTGGCATCGTCGACTGGCTCATTTGGGGAGCAAGAGTTTGCAGACACTCGCGAAGCATGGCATGGTAACAGGTATTCCCGAGAAACCAGATAAATTGGATTTTTGTGATGTTTGTGTTCTCGGAAAGCAGTGCCGAGAACCATTCACGGGTACTAGAGTCCGTGCTACAAGACCTCTAGAACGAGTGCACTCCGATGTGTGCGGTCCAATTACATCAGCGGCTTGGGATGATTCTCGGTACTTCGTCACCTTTATTGATGATTACACGCACTTTGCAGTAGTATATCCCATCAAGAAGAAGTCCGAGGTGTTCCAGAAGTTTCGAGAGTACGAGGCCATGGCGAGTGCCGCTCTGGGACATTCGATTTCGAAGCTGACTGTCGACCAAGGGCGCGAGTATTGCTCCAATGACCAGCGTGATTGGTACGTTTCCAAGGGGATCCAAGTCGAGCCAACCGCAGCGTACACACCACAGCAGAATGGAGTGTCCGAACGGTTCAATCGGACAATCGTCGAAAAGGTGCGTGCGATGCTGATTGAAGCCCAAACTCCGAAGAATCTGTGGAATGAAGCGGTTCTAGCGGCGGTATACCTGACGAACAGAAGTCCAACCACCGCGGTATCTGATTGGAAGACTCCTGCGGAAATGTGGACTGGTCACAAGCCGGACGTTAGTAAACTACGTGTGTTCGGCTGTAAAGCATTTGCTTGGGTGTCCACGGCACAGAGGAAGAAACTGGATCCGAAAAGCAAGCCTGCTGTGATGATCGGCTATGCGCCGAACGCCTACCGCCTGTGGAACAAAGAGAAGAAGCAGTTATTCCTAGCCAGAGATGTCAAGTTCGATGAAAACAGTTTTCCGTTTGCCACCCAGATCCGTGACGAAACTCCTTTGGTTGTTGCTCCGTACGAGTTCGAGGATCAAGATGAGGAAGACGTGCAAACCCCTGAACAGTCCGTTCAACCCGATGAGCCGCTGGTGGCTCAACATGACGACATCCTGACTGATGATGAAGAAGGCGAGGTTGAAGACGACGGTGTTGAAGAAACCGGAGCGCTCCCTTCGCAACTAGACCGTGGTTCAAACCTCGAAATGGAAACCCCGAGGCGCAGCGAACGGGAGCGCAGACAACCCGGTAAGTTGAAAGAATTTCTGGTTGGAAAAATTTTCACTGCCGCGCAATCCCATTCTGCAGATGTTCCCCATAACGTTTCCGATGTACTATTTGACGGTTCCGTTGGACGAGATGAGGCCGAGCGTTCGATCTTCGATGTCCCGGATTCGTACAAGGAGATCGCTGGACGAGCCGACGAAGCTCTTTGGCAGCAAGCGGTCCGTGAGGAACTGCAGTCGCTAGCGGACAACCATGCTTGGCGATTGGTGAGATGCCCTGCTGGTGTGGTTCCGCTCAAATCGAAATGGGTCTTCCGAATCAAGCCGGACGAGCATGGCGAACCGATCCGTTACAAGGCGCGCTTGGTGGCGAAGGGATTCCAACAGAAGCCCGGAGTCGACTACAACGAAACATATTCCCCCGTAGCAAAGTTAGCCACGATACGAACCGTTCTTGCTGTAGCAACCCACCGAAGGATGCACGTTCACCAACTCGATGTGAAGACCGCATTCCTCTACGGTGAGCTTGAAGAAGACGTCTACATGGCCATACCCGAAGGAGTTGCAGCACCGCCGAACTTCGTTTGCAAGCTGGATCGATCGCTGTACGAACTCAAGCAAAGCCCCCGCTGTTGGAACAACAAGCTAAACGACCTTCTACTGGATTTCGGCTTTACCCGTTCCCGGCATGATTACTGTCTATATACCAGGATCGACGATCGAGGGGGGGTATACATAATCATCTACGTGGACGATTTGCTCATTGCTGGCGATCGACTGGACCTGGTGAAGGAGATCAAGCGTGCTCTTTCCAAGAAGCTCCAGATGACGGATTGCGGCGTGGTTAATCATTTCCTTGGAATGAAGATCCGATACGACCGCGCCACCGGATGCATGTACCTGGCGCAAGAAGCTGCTGTGGACCGTGTGCTGACGAAGTTCGGCATGCAAGACTGTAACCATGTCAAAACCCCAATGGAGAAAGGCTGTTTCCTGCCACCACAAGCTGCGAATCCTGTGTCGCATCCATACCGTCAATTGCTGGGCAGCCTGATGTATACGATGCTGTGTGTTCGACCGGACATATGCTACGCTGTTGGATACCTAGGGCGCTTCCAAGTTCAACCTGATGAGGCCCACTGGCAAGCCCTGAAGAGAGTGGTCCGTTACGTGAAGGGAACGAAGAACTTGAAGCTCCAGTACAAGCAAAACGACGACGCCGAGGCACTTGTCGGGTACGCAGACGCTGACTGGGCATCGGATGCTGAGGATAGGAAATCCGTTAGTGGCTTCGTCTTTAAGGTCTTTGGGAACACCGTGTCTTGGGCAAGCCGCAAGCAACAAACCGTTGCACTGTCGTCGTGTGAAGCCGAGTATGCAGCTTTAAGTACCGCGGCCTCCGAAGGGCTGTGGCTGCACGGAATCCTTGAAGACCTGAAGCAAGTTCGACCGGACACGGCATTCAAGGTGTACGAAGACAACCGTGGGTGCATTGCAATGGCCACAAACACCGAAAGCAAGCGTGTCAAGCACATCGATGTAAAGCACCATTTTTTGCGCGACCATGTGGCACAAGGAAGACTTCAAATCGAAGCAATTGATACAGCAAACCAAATAGCGGACACGTTCACCAAGCCCCTGGAACCTGGACGTTTCCGCGAACTGAGGACCCTCCTAGGACTGACCGATTCAGGGGGGGTGTTGGAGTAAATCGGTAACGCAGTGTGCTGATCACCTCCTTGGAGACCGAACGTCACCCCTAGCAACCTAAGTTTTCTTAAATAAACAACGGTGAAAAACTTTTCATTCCTGTTCAAGACTCCACTCAAGCTAGTCGTTAAATAAAATCCATTCTACTTTTAAACTTTGCTGTTCCGGTTCTTTCTAACAATCAAGAGTACGATTTAACCAATTGCTCAAACCTATCACTTGCATGCAAAAAGTGTTGAGAATGTAGTAAAGGGTGTCCACTGTTAAATTGCATCAATTTCAAAAAGCTGTAACATTTTGCGCTTTGGGTTAATTTTAATGAAATTTTGGGTGAGATGGCCTCAGCGTATATTGTTTACACTGCATGAATATCATTGTGAAATTTATAGAAGTTTTGAAAATGGAGTCGAAGGAATAGCGCGTGTGCGAGAAAATTTTGCACACTCACCTCAACAACCCACATCTTTCGCACCGAGCCATCGGAAAGATTTTTTTTTTTTTTTTTTTTTTATTATAGTCACTTTAACACTCTTGGGTCATTCGTGACTTGTCGGGGGGTGAGATTTGAACTCGTGACTTTGGCGTGAGAGGTATGGATGTTAACCACTACGCCGGGGTCACCCCCTCCATCGGAAAGATGTTGGGAATCCAACAATCTACTGTTTCTCGTGTCATAAAACGTTTCGGGAGCAAGGAGTGCAAGAAAAAGTGTTCCGTACTGCGTTGAAGATCACAAGCGAGTGGTTGCTGCCTTAAAACGCAAACCCAACTATTCCGTTCGGGAAGTCGCGAAAAAACTGCACTTGACCAAATGTTGCGTGCAGAAACGAATACGTTCATTCAAGGGAAAGCACCAAACCGCAATGAACGACAGAATAGGACAGCTAGAACGTGGACACTAGACTGATGCAAAATTTGACTTTTTCACTCCACAGTGCTTAAATGGTTTCATGTCGTGTCCTGATTAGCCTTTCAAAGTTACAACTCATTTGGTTAGAAACAGAATTCGCAAAAGCCATTTGAAGTTTACATGTAAATTACTATGGGAAATCTCAACTTTTTGTTCATTGCCTTCTAGTCTTTTCCATATTGAGCTGCAAAACAGTTCGATAGCCATTCTTTTAGAAAATTTTCTCAGCTACAACTTTGCTGAAGATCGTTTCTATGTAAAACGAGACAGGAAAAAGTTATTAGTTATTTAAGAGATTGGTAAACTTATGACATGATCAAGCAGCTGCTCTGTAGGCAACACTGTATTTTGCAGTGTGACATAGTAGCCATGATTTTTGTGTCATATTCAACGCCCCAGAAACACTAATGTTGCCTGCTGAGCAGTTGATTGAGCATGATCATAAGACATCAGCGCATTGTACCATTGATAACTTTCGATCATTTAATCAAAAAGTGGTCTTCAGCAAAGTTTTAGCTGGGAAAATTTCCTACAATTACAATTGAAAGCTTTTGAAGCAGACCGATATGGAAATGAACAAAAATCTTGGTTTTACCATAGTAATTCCCATACAAACTTCAAATGGTTTGTGCCATCTCAGCTACTCACCAAATGGGTTCAAATTTTGAGAGGTTAGTCAGGATCCGATTTGGAATCGTTTAAGTATTGTGGAGCGAAAATTTCAAATTCTGCATCACTCTAGTGGACACGTAAGCTGTACACACAAATGTTGACAAAACCACACTACTATATCATGGACGATGAAACATACGTAAAAGCGGACTTCAAACAAATTCCGGAAAACCAGTGACTGTGAAAGACAAGTTAGATGTTTTAGAGTCCCTCAGAAAACAGCAAGTGTAACCGTAAATGGCCAAGTCTACATGAATGAGTGCTTGAATAAACACACAATGTTCCTACATTTTTTTAGGCGGATCTAGCCTCTTGTCACTACTGCAAGGAAGTTCTGGAGTGGTACAAAACGAACGGGGTCAATTGCGTGCCGAAAGATCTCAATCCCCCAAACACACCGGAATTGCGGCCGATCGAAAGATACTGAGCAATAATGAAGCACGAACTCCGTAAGCATCCTAAAGTTGTCACTACGGAACAGGAAATGTTGAAATCATGGTTGAAAGCAGAAAATAGGTACTTACGTGAGGAACCTGGTCTGCACCGGTTTATCGATCGGCTTGAAATTAAGTGCGGGCGTATTGGAAGACTTTCCCGGAATGCCGTCCTTGTCGAATCGAATTATTGGTGCCACTGGTTTTCGGTTTCCGCCTGGTAGCTCCTTCACCATGTCTCGGTTTGGTTTGAACGAGAATCGACTGTCTTCGTCGTCATCGTCAGGTGGAAAGAACACATCGGTGGCTCCTCCCCCCGGCTTGCTAGTGGGTGTAGTAGTGCTGGTAGTCGGTACCGGTGCAGGTGGCTCCTGTACCGAGGTCAGCTTAGTGCCGGTATTCGTTCCGATCTGAGTTGTAGTCCGTACGACGGCCCTATACTCGGAAGGTGTCATTGGCGATGGATTGTAGTACGGATCTCGAATCATCTTGCGAATATTCGACAGCTCCAGAAGTAGTGTTGCCTCGAGCGTTCTGAATGCCACCAACATTTCTTCGGTACCGCACACGCCGACTAGGGTTTTACTGATGGTTGCCTGAGCACTGGCTTCCACCTCACCGGAAGTAATGGTACATTGAGCCGTTTGCGTTTCGTACGGCGCATCCGGAGTCCCATCATTGATGTTGGTTGTGTTGGATACTGAAATTGTGCGGGTAATGAAAGAGACAATTAATATGTGTTTTGTAGTTGAAAGGATCAGGAATTCACGAGCACTCTATGCCTATGCCTGAAGAAAATATTCTCGATCCAATGGGTCCACTCCATTTGGCTCTCTTTGATAGAATAGAATTTCTCCAAGAAAAACCCCCCACTATTCACCTGCATCAGATGTTTTGACGTAGGACTAGGAGGAGGAGGATATGGGGGTACACTTTGTGAAAACCGAAAATGGAACATGTAACGAAATTTTGAAAGATTTTGAACGTTAATAACTCAGCTGCCCCTGGACCAATTTCAATAATTTTATTATCAATCGATCAGAAATATTTCTACGCATCGATAGTACCGATTGTTGATTTTTAACAAGAAACCACAGACAAACAGACATAACACTCGCAAGTTGTTCATCGAAAAAGCATTTAACGGTAAATTTAGAAGTATCTTAGTTGGTAGTACCGCCACTTGTGGCGCGCATAGTCAATTCCCTTACGTTTGACGTTCACACACTACCGCCATCTGTTCTGCGTATTACCCACCATAGTGTACTCAACAGATGGCGGCAATGTTTTAGCGACGATGTTTTACAGCGAGAAATATTTAAAGTGTTATGTCTGTTTGTCTGTGAAGAAACTATCGACAAAGTGGTAAATGTCAAGCACTGTCCAAAAGCGTCCAAACATTGTCATCAGTGGCATTCGCCTCCGGGTGTGTGCGAATAGGGAGGATACAATTGCGTAACATTTTGCACACTCATCGCCATATTCAAAACTACACGCCCCTAACGACCACACAAAATGCTCTCCAGAGTTGTAATCTTGTAACCAAACTTGGAATCAGGGGTGCAAGTGATTTTGATCGATTCTCTTCATCGACATTCTGTTTCGTTAATAACTCGACGGCAAACACATTCATTGATACGTTTGTTGTTCTGGATGATAGAAGAGCATAGCAGAAATAGTGCGAAATAGCTTATTGAAGCCATGGTCATCAAAAGAGGAAATCGATTAAGAGAATTGACGTTCACCCCTCTGCATTCTAAACCCCTTAATTCAGTCGTCGTCATAGCAATGAAAACTAGCATCGCACCGCTTTTGGTTCTTGGGTTACACTTGCTGGTTGCAATTCTGCTATTCGACATTTTCGAAGGACCACGAAAAAACCTAAAATTACACTATTATCTAGGGATGCCTAAAAGTCCAAGATTTGTTCAGCTATTCGATTAAATATTTATCGAATTTTCAATTATTCAAGCACGTAAGTGACATCCCTTCTTATTTCTTTTCGTTTGATTTAGCGCAGTAGAGAAAATAAATAAGAGTACTAATTTTTCTGAACAGTCATAGAGAAGAACCATAACGTGAAACAGGATCATAAATTCACTGAAAAAAGTGTTAAGCGTGTTTCTGCTAAAGGCCTAGATTTACCAACTTGTTGAAAGAAGGAGTTTAACGAGAAAAAAAATAAAAAGGGGAGGAGCTTTAGCTGGGTGGACACTGATGTTCTGCGGCCTTCCAACCTGTCGCAGACACCAGTTGAACCCCTGTCCAGCAGCAGACGGGCCGAGATCTTGCGAGTGCCCAATCATTGAACATGCCAGATTTTTTTCTATGCAATTCCGTAGACTTATTCAAATCTACGGATTTCTACGGATTTTTTTAGTCGAAGGTGATATTTTACGTTAAATGATAAATCGATGAAAGAACTTTTGAAAAACTACTATGGACAGTCCTCTGGGGTTGTACGCAATGGTGACGTCGGACTACGTGGTCTTATATAATAAATGTTATTTGTTAACTGCAGCAGGACTTGTGTTTTGTGTAGGAATAGGCATTTTATCGGGGTTCTCTCTGTTTGTACACTTTAGTATGACTATGATTGCCTTGAAAAGAAGCTTTTGATGTGACTTTTATTTGGGACATGTTCAGAAATTTAACTCTTTCGGAAAAGCTTGATGACCCTGAAAAGGGCCGATCGTAGTACAGGCATGAATACCATGATCCTGTTGCACCTGTAGTTTTTGGCATTCTTTCACTAATTGCTTCCCGGGGATCCTTGTTAAGCCATAGAAAGATGTGCGCGTGAGGACTTCCACGGTGCTGAAATTCAATAGTGTCAACCAGCTTGATGAAGTACACACAGCACGTGTCTGGATCATCATTGACCAGAGTTGCTCTTTGTAGTGCAGTCAATTCCTGGATGGGATCTGTTAAGTCATTGCCATTGTGTCCTTCTGACAATTCTGACAAAAGATTCAACAAATAGGGCCACTTCATCTCATTTGCACTGAGTGGGAGGAACATCGTAGGCTTTCCCAATTGTCGCATCATGGTGAACAAATTTCTCTTCCTTTGTTGCCAATACTGTACTGAATTCGGTATTGATTAGAGGAAGGATAGATTTCGCTCAATGCACTGCTCCATGAATAAGGCGGTCCTTAAGGTTGACACGAGTGATGTTTACGGTCCCCAGAACTTAAAAATGCATCGCAAGCCTTCGGAAACTCTAAGGCGAAGAACTTTCATTGTCATATACAACAAATGTTGTGGTTTGGCCACACGCCTGTCTTGACGACCAGTTTCACTGGATGCTATCATGAAATATTTCACGCCGTGCTCGTCATATATTAATGACAGAGGAACCCTGTTTTGCGCGGGAGCGATCTCCAGGCATTTGTCCTCATTCCAAAGTGCGTTTCCTGTTGCCCAAACAGCAATTCTGTCTCATTATCCACGGCAATGGTTTCCAGCTCAATTTGAGGAGCCACTGCAGGGGTTTCAAGACCATCTTTGGCGATCTGATCAATTGTGATCCCGTAGCGGTGGTACAGTGGTGTCGTAATCTAATAAGAAAGCCACGCTTTAACCGTAGTTTCCTTTATAAAGCCGGACAAGTACGAAGACTTATGGATTATGTGCTTTTTGATGAACACGTTGAAGGCCTGATCATCATCGAGCTGACGGGGAAGAGAGCGTCGTCTCTCTTACATAACGCAAACGGTTGAACAACATTCGAGCAAAAAGAAAATTATCAAATAACTATCATATGACATATGTGATTTCGTTCTAATTCCTCAATTTGGTGTAAATTAAACCATTTCTGATCTGACCATAATAACTAGGACATCGTTGCTTGCTATTTTCAGAATTCACACAAGCATAACATTAGCAGCTCTTATTATGAGAAAAACTAAAATATATACATTCGTGACGGCCTTCAGCGACAATGTCGTATGACAGAGCCTGTCATATGACATTTTAGTTTTGTACTGTAATTTGAAAGCTTGTTTTGCAAGTGTCGGAAGCAAAGGCAGTCGATTATCATAGAAAATGTGTCGACTACGGTGACCGCTTACAAGACTGGTCTCGACACGACTTTTATTCACCTTCAAACGGCACCGTCGAAAACATTTCTCTTCAAGCAAAGATTGACAGTATAATATGGGGACTTTCGGCGGAGTGAAGATATGCCATGTTTCACGGACAGTATGACCATAGAGGTAACTCTAAGACCACTGGGTCCCGAAGAAAATCATTATTATTTTTGGCTCACTCAGTACCAGAACAACGGTCCCAAGCAGTCCCAAGCTATTTCACTCACCCCTGCATGTTCTGCATGAATCCACACACCCCTGATGTTATCTGTCAAACTTTCATAGCGAATCAAAACAAACATAGTGTAGTAATAGAATTTCAACTAGAATAGGGTACGTTAATCGTTTGCTTGGGACCAATAGGCTACTAAAGTGGTGAGCCAATTTAAAATCGTTAGTTTCGAATTGATTGTTGGTATGACGTTTGCTTATGGGATATTTCATAGGAGGGAAGAGCTACAGCGTCGCCGTCAACGCCAAATTATTCTATCAAAGAGCGGATAAGTGAGCAAGAAAACGGTTGACAGGTTGCAGGGGTATATTGCTTCTTTCCCTTCAGAATCAGATTATACTCTAGATTGTAAAATTCGATTCTGAAGGGAGACGTACACTGAAGAAAAATCCGTAGAAACTGTACCGAATTCCGTAGATTTTGCCTACGGATCCGTATTTCCGCAAAAATTTGTAAAATCCGTATATCTACGGAGATTTCCGTAGATCTGGCATCTCTGCGGTAAAGCTAAGAATATGGGATTGTGCTGTCGATTTGCTGATCCAGCTACCTACACGTCATCATCATCTTCCAAAAGCTTTAAGCCTGTATTACCATCGGTCCTTTTCAGGGCCTCGAAGATTTTCCAAATTAGTTAAATTTCTGAACATGTCTGCATGAATCCACACACCCCTGATGTTATCTGTCAAACTTTCATAGCGAATCAAAACAAACATAGTGTAGTAATAAAATTTCAACTAGAATAGGGTACGTTAATCGTTTGCTTGGGACCAATAGGCCTTGCAATAGGCTACTAAAGTGATGAGCCAATTTAAAATCGTTAGTTTCGTATTGATTGTTGGTCCTACGTCACCATTGCGTACAACCCAATAGGGCTGTTCCTTGTAGTTTTTTTTTGTCAACAGTAAACAGTGTTTCAATGCACCATCGTCCTTAGCAGTATCACTATACTGTAGTTCGAAGTTTCCTTTTGTAGATACTACTTTTCGTATTTTACCAATGTATGGGCACGGATGACATATTGGGAAACGCTGAATTTGGTTTTGAAAAACATTTCGGTTGTCATGTCGAGTAACCTCACTGCACTTCATAGGCGTTTTTACGACATCGTTCTCAATCGTTCGAGAGAAGTCATTGTTCATTAAATCTGTTAGGGCCTAATTCCAGCTCTATCTAGAAGTGAGGGAGTTTGGTTTGGTATTAGACGGATGCAGGGCGGTATTGGTAAATGCAGAAAATTCAAGATGTTTCCGCTATTAAAAAATAAACGCTCAGACACTGGTTTAAGAATGGCAATATGGTAAGCCGTTTTTACTAATATTTATTATCGCTATGCGGAATGTTTAATTGGGAATACATTTAATAAAGGTTGATTTTACATATTTGCATTATTCTGTTGTTATTGTTGTAATGTGTAATTGATTATGATTCAAGTTGAAAAGACAGGAGTTTTGTACCTACAGGAGAAGAGGTAGTTTAATTATTTTCACTCCCGTGGGTATAATTCCTAAATGACCGAGACATTTATGAGGGGTCGTATCCCTACCACTTGCAAGGACGTGGCCAGGACAATCCTTAACTATTGGAGAGGGATATGTCTTTATAGGGGAGATAGTAGTTATGTCCTATTTACTATCTGTCCAGTAATAGATATCCGTCTTGCTCTTAATAGTTTTGAATTCGTACCACCTACGATATTGTGCAATTTGATCGATGCTAACATACGAAAACTTGAATAATTTCCTCATCGAATGCTTTCAGGTTCATCAAAACTATTCCTGGAACTGTGGCACTTAATATTTTGCTAGTCCCAAATATTTCGCCCAGATGTCCTCGTCTTTGAATTAAGTGCTGGTATTAAATCTGACACGTTAATGCTCTCAAATTCCTATCAAGCCGGCAAATGTAGGGGACCGTAGGGTAATACGCGCTTCCTAAGGAAATGATCGATTTTCACTACTTATAGATCAAAAATATAGGGTTACGGTATGTAATGTGGGTCTAGTCCTTTCATTCGGCCTATCACGCAAATAAATAATTAATTAAGGAATATTACACAAAAAATAAGGAAAATATTGATCACTGATGATTGATAAATGTGTACCACACACAAATCAATTTATATCACAACATTTCAATACATTTTCAGCTCTCGTAAGTAATAAAACTGGTTGAGAATATCACTCTGTTCGGAGTTTTTAGCCGCCATGACTTCTAAGGTTAAGATGGGAAGGTTGCACTGACGATCATCAAATGGCCTGATTATGGCATTTATTGAATGGAATTACCTGATAATACACACTAGACGTAAAACTCACAGTTACTGTTTGAATATTTTATGTTTATTTTAATTGTTTAACAACGTTTTCACAAGTAAATCATGGACCCAACTTTAGGGACACATTTCTTTTCTATGTTCCTAACTTTGGCCCATGAAATTCATTTGACAGCATATAGCAATAAGAGTAACGTCAACAATGTGGTTTGCATTTGGATGATAAGGAACGAACAGGAAGGGAGATTTTTTCTGCCAAATCTGTATAATGAACATCACAATGTTTTGATTTAGATATTCTGCGGTCGAAAGACGATAAGCGAAATTTTTAATTTTTAATTTTTAACTTGAGTGATTTAATGTAGTTTTCGTAAAATTTTCTCTAAGAAATGTTTTGAGGAATGAAGAGTATTAAGTTAACAGTGATAGTGATAAAAAAAAATACATAAGAAAACGTTACCAAGAGCGTTTTTTTTGAGAATCAAACAGGATAGGACGAAGTTGCATCCATAAATAGACCCAATTTGGGGACAATAGACCGATATTACATACATTTCCCTGGTGAGTTTTTGTCTTAAAAAAAGTAAGTTTTTCAACTTTTTGCGGTTCCTGATAGCAAACGACATGATAAGCATATCTAAGCATACCATTTAGCAGTAGAATATCGTTTGCAGGTAAATTAATTGATGAGTTATGATTAAAAACGTAATCTATGGCTGCATATTAGACCGAGGTTAGGGACGTATACCCTACATTATATTTTAATGCATTCATTAGTCTAATGAAAATAAATTTATCACCAAGAAAATGCTTTTACAAAAAAAAAAAACTGCTCAAAATAGCATTTTTATTTTTTGCGGGAAAACCTGCGCTACTGTTGAGTGTATTATGTGTCCACACGGCGAATGAAAACGACCCAAATTTGAGTTTAGTTTACTCATAATCGTGAAAAGGGTAAGAACTCAGTGAAGAGTAAATTTGCTTCATGTTTTTCTGTGGAAAACCTAAAAAATCTGCTGGAAAATGATGCAAATTGACGAAAATTTTACTCAATCTAGGAGTAGTACCAATAGACAGAGTGAATCCAATCTTTACTTTTCTCATATTCGGGATTTTTTCCAGGACAAACTTGGAAATTCATTAGGCAAATTTACTCATCGCTGAGTTCCTGCACTTTATTTGATTTATGAGTAAACTAAACTCAAATGTGGGTGTGTTCTCATTCGCCGTGCACCTAATTACATGATATGATTTAACTCAATGTTATGTAGGTTGCATACATTTTGCATTGTTCCGAACATTGTGTTTGGCCATAGTATACATTTAAGATGCATTTAATACGCATTCATAATGTTCCACTTTTCATAACTCCTGTTTTACGTTATTAGATTCAAAATCCAACGGCTGTTGACTTACTTTTTTTTTACTTAAGGGTCCTGTGCACCACCAGCGGTGCAAAGGGCCAACGTGAAAGAGTTCCTTATTGAGGCTTCGCCGCCATGAGCTCCTGGGTCTGCCTCTGCTGCGATGTCCTGCCGGATTCCAATCCAGCGCTTGCTTGCAAATTTCGTTTCCGCCCCGTCGAAGTGTGTGGCCGACCCACCTCCACTTTCGCTCTCGAATTTCTGTTGCTATCGGCTTCTGATGACATCGACGATGGAGCTCGGCATTCGAGATCCAGTTGTGAGGCCACCAGGCACGAATCATATACCGCAGGCATCGGTTGATAAAGACCTGAAGCTTTTGAATGTTCTCCGCTGATACACACCACGTCTCGCTGGCGTATAACAACACAGATTTCACGTTCGAGTTGAAAATTCGGATTTTGGTGCGTTGACTTATCTGGTTGGATCTCCATACGTTTCGTAAACTCGCAAAGGCAGCCCTAGCCTTCTTGATTCGTGCACCTATGTCGCTCTTGGTCCCACCGTCCGACGCTATTTGGCTGCCAAGATATTGGAAACTTTCGACCTTCTCCACTGCTTGCCCCGCTACCGGAAAGTTGGAAAGGTTGCCCGTGTTGATATCCAACGATTTGGTCTTGTTGACGTTGATGGTGAGACCCGCCGCAGAGGAGCGTTCGGCTAGGTCATTGAGCTTACTCTGCATATCAGAGCGCCGTTGTGCTAGTAGAGCAACATCATCAGCCAAATCGAAGTCGTTGAGATGCTCCATGGTGATAGGCTGCCAAAGCAGCCCACGGTTCGGTACACGGTCAATTGCACCTACCATGATCTCGTCGATTACGATGAGAAACAGTAGCGGTGATAGTATACATCCTTGTCTCACACCAGCGACTACCCGGATAGGATCGGACAAGGCTCCGTTATGCAGAACTCTGCACGTGAAAGCCTCATACTGCGCTTCGATGAGGTTGACGATTTTATCCGGGACTCCCTTGCGTCTCAGGGCGCCCCACAGATTCTGCGGAGCGTGACAATATGGTCCACACAAAATCTTCCGGCACGGAATCCTGCCTGCTGCCGTAGGAGAGTCCCGTCGATCTTCTCCTGTATCCGATTCAGGATAACTTTGCACAGAACTTTGAGAACAATACACAGTAACATGATGCCTCGCCAATTGTCGTACACAGTCAGATCCCCCTTATTTGGGTCCTTCACTAACGGCTGTTGAGGTGGCACCAAACTATGCGGTGCATAACACCCCTCGCTCAGCTTCGAATTTTATTTATCAAAAACGCTAATTTGTGAACGAAAATCATTCTGTTTTCTCACAGATCATGAAGGTGATTCATATAAATTTATTGAGAATTTTCTTATTTTAGTCTATGAAAATTCTTCCAATCCATTGAATAAAGCTCCCCGAAAAAAAAATTTAAGAGCAAAACTGGTATTTTTTTTACCTGCTGAAACAGTAAAAAGTTGATCGAAATGTAATTTCATGCCAAATATCAAGGTGGCACATTACCCGGCCGGCGCGTTTTACACAATTTCCCCTTATAGAGAATCAAACGGCATCACCTCACATCATAAATCATTTGAAGCATGCCGCCAGAGCACTTTCGTTTTCAAATTTTATTTGATCTATAAATATAACACGATTTGAATTTTTACGTCGATGTCGCATGCAGATCTAGATCTCATGCTCGCGACACCTCCTACGATATCTTCAACTATGTAGGCGGATCCATCCACATTAATCATTCGTTCCATTCATCTTCGCAGTAAACATGGCAATTCGTTATAAGTCGGTTTTTTTGCGATCCAAGTTTACACACTTCTTATCACGCTTCAAACGATTAAACCCAAAACCGGTTCCCAATTGGCAGTCGGCAGAGTATGGGATTCACATACGATTACTAATGGTCGTTTCCCAGCGGAAGGTACACTCACCTTGAAGGTCTGCGCCGGAGATACAGCTGACTGCAAACAACAGCACCAGAAACAAAGCGCACACGAATTGCACTAGTGATTTCGCTGCTCCCTTACTACGACCACAACCGGTCATGCTCATGACCCTTTCGGTTTTCTCCAAGCTTGAATGAATTGCTAATTGCTCGTTAATCGACTTTGACATTCAGAATTTGTAACACAAAAAAAAAACAAAACCAACTTACGCAAACTCACTAAGCACGGGTTTGAATTTACTATTCAATCAGGCACGATGAAATGCCCGCGCGAAACCGACGACGTCCCAACGCCTCGATGGATGTCTTAGAACTGAAAGTGGGGAAACTTTATTTTCTGGAAACAGTCTGCTGTTTCTTCCCGCGGCTAGGTGAGAATCTAACACATATTTATTTATAATATAGAGAAACGTTTTGCTCTTATATTATGATCGCTTAATTTTTGTGTTTTATTGAGAGCTCTTTTGAACTCCTATGGAGCAAACTACGGTAATTTGCCAATTGTTGCACAGCTAAGCATGTGCTTTTTTGTTAGTTCGCGCTTTTACGAGGTTGACAACGTTTTTGAACTAGGAATTCCTCAAGAAACATTTGAATGAAGCATTTCCAAAGCAAATAAGCAGTGTATATTAGACTGATGCAAAATTTGAAAATTTCGCTCCACAGTGCTTAAACGGTTCCAAATTCGGTCCTGCTTAGCCTCCCAAAATTTGAACTACTTTAGTAAGAAACTGACTTGGCACAAACCATTTCAAGTTTATATGGGAATTACTATGGGAAAACTTATGTTTTTGTTCATATCTATCTAACAATTCACCACATCACTATGCTTTTAAAAATGACAGCAGTGATAGTAGAAAATTTTATCAGCTCAAACTTTGTTGAATACCACTTTTCAATAAAATGTAAGGAACAAAAGTTATTAATGATTCAAGTCACTGATGTCTTATGATTATGCTCATTCAACTGTTCAGCAGGCAACATTGGTGTTTCTGATGCAAAGAATAGAGCACAAATATCATGGCTACTATAACGGCGCCGGTGGTGTAGTGGTAAGCGTGATTACCTCTCACCCCAGCAGGCCTGGGTTCAATCCCAGCTGGCGCCGCCGGGATGTTCTGAGGCATAACATCTCTGATCACGCCTTCCTTCGGATGGGAAGTAAAGCCGTTGGTCCCCGGTTCATGAGTTGTGATGGGTCGATAGGTTGGAGGCGAACCAGCCCAAGGCTGAATGAAAGCCTCCCTAATAAAGATAAATAATAATAATAATAATGGGTCGATAGGTAGGGTCCAGGTGTGGGAGCTGCCTTCCTGGCACGTCGGTAGCATTGGTGCTCAGCACAGAAAACAAGATCGACGGAAAAAACAAACCAAAGGAAAAAAAAAAAAAAAAAATCATGGCTACTATGTCACACTGCAGAATACAGTGTTGCCCACAGAACAACTGCTTGATCATGCCATAAGATTGTCAATCTCTTAAAAAAATAATAACAATTTAATTTGATGTTTGGCTGAAAAACGATTTTCGGCAAAGTTGTAGCTTAGAAAATTTCCCGTAAGAATAGTTATAGAAATTTTCGAAAAAGCAATATGGAAAATGGGTAGAAGTCAATGAACAAAAAGTTTGGTTTTCCCATAGCAATTTCCATATAAACTTCGAATAGTTTGTGCCAAGTCAGTTTCTTACCAAATGAGTTTAAATTTTCGGAGGCTAATCAGGACCAGATGAAAACCGTTTGAGCACTGTGGAGCGAAAATTTCAAATTTTGCATCAGTCTAGTGTATATTCTTAAAAGCTTTCCTTGTAATAAGTTTTTTTGAATGCACCTCCCTAATAAAAATTGTATGGTTAATTTGCTTAACGACGTGTTCTGGGTATCATCCAAACCATTTATGGAATAGTTCAATGATTTGGGTTATCGTTCGTTTATGGTTATTTTTATTAGGGCTCAGGGCCCAATTGTTGCACGCATCATTTGCATTGAAATCATATTACCAACCAGTGGAAACTACACGGAGAACAAATTCGTTAAGTTAACATAAAAATCCTAATAGTTACTTTCATATGGAAAAATATTGTTGTTTGAAAGAAACCTATAGTTATTCCAACATTAATTTGACCGTCAACTCAATCATATCTACCTAATAGATTCAACTGTTCATCTTATACTCATTTCAACTATAACTTTGATCAATTATAACAACCGTCAAATGTAATTCATTTATACAATTTGGTTTCAAATGATCATCATAAATCCACATACTTTTAACTTGTGATGCGTTGAGCAGGCGATAAGATAGCTGGCTCTCATGCAGATGAACACGGTTCAAATTTAAGTTGAATGTTCTTGTTCACTTTTTTTATGATTTTGCAGTTGTGTTTTTGAGATCGATAATGAAGCAAAACAAACTTCCTTAATATGTCGATAATGAAGATCAGTTCGTTTAATAAACATTGTAAAATTTTGCTTCCCTAACAATAGTTTTCTTGAATCAACTAAAGCATAGTTGTATTTTGAAGTTTGACGTTTGTTCATCTATTGAAAAATATAGTTGAGCCAACCGAGGAGCCAACTATGGACTATAGTTGTTGCCCTCTATATATAGTCAAATCAACTATAGTTTCGGGTTACCTCTAAAACAATTGAACAATATAGGGTAAATGTCGGCTTCGGCACCCATTGACTGTTTTCGGCAACCCAAATTTAAACGTTAATTTCACTATGTTTTCCCATAAACTCACGTCCCTGAATGCACCCAAACGATTCTTTAGTCTTTCAGCTTCAATCTGATTGTATTTGTACGTCTGAGCAGTCCTGTTATGCCAGATTTTTATTCAAATGAAACATACGTACTCTAAAATGGGGTTGATTTCAAGTTGCCGATAATAGAACAGCTGGTTAACACGCAGTTCTAATGGGAAGGTTGCCGAAGAAAAAGAGGCTGCCGACAATAGTCACAAAATGCTAATAGAAGTGCGGACACTGCTTAGATTGACGAGAATACGTAAATTCCCCTAGTTATTTTGACCGGAAAAATAATTGCGTTTTCCGTGTAACGATTTTTTTTTTGGGCTACAAAATGATGAGTGACAATCTGGAAGGAGCGATATACCTAGCTCCGGTCCTCACAAGTTCCTACCTCACGCCTCCACGAGTCATATGATCACAAAAGACTGCCAGCTGAAACATGGACACAGCTGGTTGGCGTAGCCTGGGTAATGTTGTCAATCCGACAATAGCAGAGTGAGGAGGTGCGACGCGAACACTGGCGCGGTAACCATAGCACGGTGATAGAGGAAATGCTTCGCCAACCCGAGCGTCTGTTCACCATGGAGGTGCGGCTCAAACAGCGTCTGACTGGCATCCAGCGGCTGAATAAGAAATGCTCTTCCCCAGAAGCTACACCTAAGATGGCAGCCCCATCACGGCGGATAGGAGACCTTAGGCCAACCACCTACTGTCTCTGAAACCTTTACAATTGTTACAGAAACCAACAAAGAAAGACATCGAACTGATTTAACGGCAACGACTTTTAGCGCAAAACAACGGACACGAATTGGATCATGGAATGTATTGACGTTAGCCCAGCAGGGTAAACTGGCACAACTCGCCAACGAGGCGCGACGCATGAAGCTAGAAATCCTGGGACTGAGTGAAGTTCGTTGGCCAAACTTTGGAGAACACAAACTGCCGTCGGGACATGTACTACTATACTCTGGTATTCGAGGTGAAAACGCTCCCCGCCATCGTGGAGTTGGTCTCCTACTTAGCGTCCTAGGGAGCCTGTTAATGAGAGGATAATCGTTGCCAGATTTAGAACATGGGTTCGTAACCTTACCATAATCCAATGTTATGCGCCAACCGATGCTGCCGAGTTACAGGACAAGGAGAATTTTTTTTAGTCAACTGAATGCCGTCGTGGATAAGGTTCCAAAGGGTGACATCAAGATCTACACTGGCGACTTCAATGCGAAGATCGGCTCCGACAACACGGACTATGAGCAACAATCAATACGAAACTATCGATTTTAAATTGGCTCACTACTTGACTAGCCTATTGGTCCCAAGCAAATCGATTAACGTACCCCATTCTTGTCAAAATTCTAGTACTACACAATGTTTGTTTTGATTCGCTATGAAAGTTTGACAGATAAAATGAGGGGTTCGTGGATTTTCCTATGTTTCGAGGGGTGATTCGATTAGCTTGGGACCGAAGATAGTACCAGAGCTGAGCCAAAAAGTTGAGCACGTTTCGTCGGGACCTACTAGTCTTAGAGTTACCTCTATGCTATGAGCGTGTCATGGGACGCCATGGTCTCGGCGAAATGAGCGAGAACGGTGAGCTGTTCGCAGAATTTTGTGGCAATAACGACATGGTGATCGGGGGCTCGCTCTTCCCCCATCGGCCAGTGCACAAAGTCACGTGGGTTTCCCGTGATGGACATACCGAAAATCAGATCGACCACATCTGCATCAGCCGAAAATGGAGACGGAGCCTTCTTGATGTCCGGAATAAACGCAGCGCCGACATCGCGTCTGACCATCACCTTCTAATCGGCGAAATCCGCCTACGCATGGCGCGGATCCAGCAACGGGAGGAGAGACTCGGGCGGCGGTTCAACACACGCCGACTTGAAGATCCAGCGGTAAAAAGGTATTTTGTTGAAGAACTTGAGACTCGAGCTGCGGACGTTCCAGAAGGTGAAGCGTAGAAAAACAATGGACGACCATCAAGAATGCCTTTATAGAAACAAGCGAGAACAACTTGGGTGAGCTGCGCACCCAGAGGAAAGAGTGGATCACAGATGAAACCTGGCGGAAGATTGAGGAGCGTAGAGAAGCAAAAGCCGCGATAGAGCGGGCGAGAACCAGAGGAGCCAAGAACGAAACCCGTCAACGGTACTCGGCTCTAGAGAAGGAAGTCAAGTGCTCTTGCAGACGGGACAAGCGAGCGTGGGTGAACTCCCTGGCCGACGAAGGGGAGAAAGCCGCAAACACTGGCGATATACGCCTCCTCTACGATATCTCACGACGCCTGAGTGGAGCAAGGATGAACCCGAGGATGCCAGTGAAGGACACGACTGGACAATTGCTTACCGACCCCACTGACCAGCTGAAACGCTGGTTAGAGCACTTCGAACAACTTCTTCAAGTTTCGACGGCCAACCAGCCATCAACATCTCGGCATGATCCGCCTAGGGTGCGGCGCATCACTCGCATCAATTCCGAGGCCCCATCACTGCAGGAGATTGAAGCAGCTATCCGAAGCATGAAATC